TGGCAGCAAGAGTTTATCTTACTTAAACACGTCTTGTGACCTTGCCTCAGAACTTACAAAATCTCTGGTACATGCAGAAAAACAGGTACTCACAGAACTTACGAAATCTCTGGTATGTGCAAAGATTAGAGAGCAGAACAAAGGGTTTAGCAAGAGGGTGTAGCGGCGGGGGCGGGTACACATCTATCTTTGTGTCCTTTCAATTCTACTAATGTGAAGTACTTAGAATAGTCAGATTCATACAGATAAAAAGTAGAATGGAAGATGGCTGGGATGGGGTGTAGTTATTGTTAAATGGGCAAAGAGTTTCAGTTTTACAGGGTGAAAAGAGTCCTCTGAAGATAGATGTTGGTACACCGAGCACCGTGGCTCACGCCTGTAGTCTCAACACTTTGGGAGGCTGAGGCGGGAGGATTACTTGAGCCCAGGAGTTCAAGACCAGCTTAGGTAACATAGGGAGACCTCATCTCTACAGAAAATAAAAAATTTATCCCGGCATGAGGGTGCATACTTGTAGTGCTACCTACTTAAGAGGCCGTTGTGGGAGGATCACTTGAGCTCAGAAGGTCTAGGCTGCAGTGAGCCTTTACCACGCCACTGCATTCCAGCCTGGGCGACAGCAAGACCTTGTCTCAAAAGAAAAAATAAAGGAAAAGTAGGTGTTGTTAGCACAGCGGTGTGAATGTACTTAATGCCTCTGAAATGTACACTTACAAATGGTTAAGGTGGTAAATTTTATGTTACATGTATTGTACCATAATTCTTAAAAAAGTTTTTTAACAATTTTAAGACTGCTAAACAGTCCCCAACAGTGGTATTTAGTAGTCATGTTAGTATGTAGGTAATACTGTTCCTCTAGAGCAGGAGCCATCAACTCCTGCTGGCCAGCTGCCTGTTCATTTGCTGTATGAAGGCTAAGAATGTGTTTTACAGTTTCACATTTTTTAGTTACATTTTAAATAGTTATATAAATACCTACATAACAATAGCCTTTGACTCTCAAAGCCTAAAATGTTTACTATGTGGCCCTTTTAAGAAAGATACATGCTAATCTGTGCTTTAAAGTCATTGTCATTTGAATGCATTAGTTCTGCCACTCACCAGTCCTGTATCCCACAAACAAGGCACTTAAATATTCTGGGCCTCATTTTCTCATGTATAAAAGAGGTGGTGCTTGCCTATCACTTTGGAAGAACTACATAAGGATCCCAAAATACGGGAGGTAAAACTGAAACACAAGTCATATTTGCTTTGCTTTATAGAGATTGACCATTGGCCTTATTTGGTTACTCTGTTCAAAGCAAGTACCTTTGCTTGTCAACCTCCTGTGCTTAGTTGTGTAGAGTTGTTTGAGTAAAGAAACCTAAGAGACCCATAAACTTGCAAACAGATCAACCAATTGGGAAACCCTGGAATTAATGGAAACAGTTACAATTAGAACATGGCTGGTATGTGGTAAAAGGCCACCCTTGAGTAAAGATTAGCTATGTGTTAAGTACAAACACCAATGTTTAGTGTCTTCTTGTTGGAGATGATTTTTTTTCTCTTTGGCTTTTAAGAAGTAACTTCATTGATTTGAACTAAGTTTTTGATTCATTTGGCAAGAAAATAGAAAGCTTTTGGGGGAGTAAAATATTTAATATGTTACTGGTGTCCCAAATACCTTTTTTTTTTTTTTTTTTGGAGACAGAGTCTTCCTGTATTGCCCAGGCTAGAGGCTAGAGTACAGTGATGCGATCTTTGCTCACCGCAACCTCCACCCACCAGGTTCAAGCGGTTCTTTTGCTTCAGCCTCCCACATAGCTGGGATTATAGGTGCCCGCCACCATGGCCGACTAATTTTTGTATACTTAATAGAGATGGGGTTTCACCATGTTGGCCAGGCTGGTCTTGAACTCCTGACCTCAAGTGATACGCCCACCTTGGCCTTCCAAAGTGCTGTGATTACAGGCGTGAGCCACCATGCCAGGCCTTTTTAAAATTTTTTTTATTTTTATTGTTTGAGACCAGGTCTGGCTTTGTTGCCCAGGCTGAAGTACAGTGGCACGATCTTGGCTCACTGCAACCTCTACCTCCTAGGCTCAAGCAATCCTCTCACCTCAGCCTCCCAAATATCTGGGACTGCAGATGCATGCCACCACGCCTAGCTAATTCTTTACATTTTTTGTAGAGATGGGGTTTCACCATGTTGTCCATGTTGGTCTTGAACTCCTGGGCTCAAGCAGTCCACCCACCTTGGCTTTCCAAAGTGCTGGGATTACAAGTGTGAGCCACTGCATCCGGCCCCCAAGTGTCTTAAAGCCTTATAGATCCCATTGTCACTATGTTACCCCTAGTGCGTATGCCAAAGAGGATTCCCAGGGAAGCTTGTTATTTGATAGCTGAGAACTAATGTGAGAATCCTTCCATAATGGCCAAGTAGATACCATGTTCTTAGAATGCACAAAGCAAAGAACCGGCTAGAAGCAGTGGTTTTGCAGCTCTTTCCAAAGCCCATGGACTGACTTCACAGTCTTGTGGATTATTGACTGTAGGTTCAGGGGAGTTTATCTGAAGTTGAATATGTGGTCATAGGAAATAATGTCTGCAAAAGTATTGTGTTTTCAACTACCGGCCCGTCATCATTTTTCCACTGACAAACAGCAGTAAGGGCACCTTGGCTATTGCTTGGTTTTATGTTCAGAATGGGGTTTTGAGTTACTGCATTTTGGCTACCTGCTTGGAAGAATCCTTATTACACTCAAAATTAGATCTAATAACTGAGCCATAGCAATGCTGTTGCAGATACCTTTAGCATTTATTCTCCTGTGCCTCATAGTTAATAATTTCCACATTAGGAATTTGGTCTAATTATAGTTCACTTTCAGTTCTGCAGCTTTTTACTGATTTACTAGGCAGAGACATGAGGTTGATCCTATTAAACTGAACAGATTATTTTGAGTGTACACTATTTTCCAATTATTACAATTTTTCAGCCACATTGAATACAGTTAGAAGTTTAACTGCTATACCTATAGTCTAAATATGGTAAGTTCACAAAGAGATGATGTGAACGTCAAGAAGATACCTCACATTATACTTTTAGTGCGGTTTTTTTGGGCTTCCTAAAAATATTTTTGGTCCCCCTACACATGTTTGACAGCTGTTTATAGATAATGTCTGCAGTTTCTGTTTGAGAGAGATAATTATTACACTTAGCATTGGAAAACTAAGAAGAACGTAAGCAGGTCAGCTATCAGAAGTCTTCAGACTGGAGAGATTCCTGGAGGGGGAGTGGCCCTTTAATCCATCAGCTGAAGCCATCTGGTAGGACACTCATTGCAGAAATGGTTCTGAAATGTTCTAACTCAGCAACATCACTGAATGTCACAGAATTGACAGACACAGAGCTAAAGGGCCTCTAGCCAACGCCATAACTCCTCTGTACCTTTGTGTCCCTAACACATGACTTGGAACAAATACAGTCTAGGTACAAATATGGCTACCTGAAGTTTATGATCCCTACTCATGGAGCTGCATGAGGACATCACATTTTTTAAAAAGCTGCTTTGGGCACCCCCATTCCTGAGAAGTTTGTAGCTTGGTTTCCCTTTGCTACATAACGTTTGTAAGACTAACATTTAATAACCATACACAGTTGGGGCATTTTCTATTTTGAGAAATTTATTTGTAGCTTCCTCTTATTTACACTTGGGGACTATTTTTAAGTATTTTTGTTTCTCCATTGCAAGTGAAATCTTTGTTGCTAATCTTTTGCCATATGTAGAATTGTTCACTTGTTTTCAAGCAGGTAGTTCAATATCTGTAATTCTTGAATTCTTTTCAGCTAGCACGATGCTAGGTGTCCCTCACTGCTTATTAATTGTAGGAGATCGATGCATCAGTGTGCAAAGTGGGGGTTGGTCACTAGCACATAACTCAAAGTGTGATTATAGCTATCTTTCCACTTTTTTTTTTTTCTTTTTTTGAGACAGGGTCTCACTCTGTCACCCAGGCTAGAGTGCAGTGGCATAATCTCAGCTTACTGCAGCCTCGACCTCCTGGGCTCAAGCGATCCTGCTACCTCAGCCTCCCAAATAGCACATGCCAGTCCACTGAGCTAATTTTTCTATTTTTTGCAGAGACAGGGTTTTGCCATGTTGCCTAGGTTATTCTCAATTCCTGAGCTCAAGCCTGCCTCAGCCTCCCAAAGGGCTGGGATTATAGGTGTGAGCCACCATGCCTGGCCATCACTAATCTTCAAGGTTAATATTTGGAGGATCCATCCAGAGTCCAAAGGTTGTTAATACTCTTTCCAGATAGGGTGCCACCTTGTTTACATTACAGTCTTAAATCCAATGACAATGCTAGTGGAGTTCTAAATGATATTACTAGCAGGAAATGACTGTTTTAGTTGCAGCTCCAGTAATAAACTGCCATAGGAACAAGTTGGAAAGTGGGGGGGGGGGGGGAATGTGAACATGAAAATGTCAAGTCGTATGTATTACACAAGTGGTATTACTTTAAAAACTTTTATCTCCTTTTTGAGATGGAGTATTGATTTATTTAAAAAATGGTCTCTCCCCATTTCACTTTTTTTTTTTTTTTTTTTTTTGATGGAGTCTCACTTCTCTCACCCTGTTGTCCAGGCTGGAGTGCAGTGGTATGATCTCAGCTCACTGCAACCTCAGCCTCCAAGTAACTGGGACTATAAGCACACATCACCACACCCAGCCAATTTTTTTGAATTTTTAATAGGGTTTCAGTATGTTGGCCAGGCTGGTTGAACTCCTGACCTCAAGCGATCCACCCGCCTCGGCCTCCTGAAGTGCTGGGATTACCTGAGCCATGGTGCCCAGCCCATTTCACAGTACTTTTTATTTAACCCTATCATGCTAGGGCACTATGCAATATATGGCTGTTTCATTTTCCTTTTGTCTCTTTTTCCCAGGTGGTCTTCGAGGGATAGCACGAGGTGGTCTGACAGGACTAACACTTACGAGCCTCTATGCACTATATAATAACTGGGAGCACATGAAAGGCTCCTTGCTCCAACAGTCACTCTGAAGATTTTGCCAACTCATGAATGGAGGACACTTAGTATCTAGATCATTTTATAAGACAGTCTGGAGTTATCCTCTCTCTCCTACCTACAATTAGTTTGAAAAATTGGAGATTTTGATTTGCTGTGATGAAAATCCTGGATGGTTGACCAAGACTGGCACTTGTTCCAGCCATTAGTGAGTTGAAGCCAAAGGCCTTTGGTGACTCACTGAGAACCATGGTTCTCTTCTCCTCTGGAGAAGATCTTGCACATATCTCTTCTCCTCCCCCATGAACTAGAAAACCACTTACTCCCAGAATTCAGGTCATGCTTGTCAGTACTATATCACTAAGTCTGTTCATTTAATGATCCAAAACTGTAATGTTGCACTGTATTCCAAATAAAGGGTAAAAACAGAACTAAAGTTGTAACTCCAACACAGAAACATAGTGGTTGTCTCAATTTAAAAGTATCTACCTTGGTATAAAGTGAAAGCTACTCTCAGCATTTTCTGGCCCAATTGAGGCAAAACAACATCTTCATGTTTGTGTTGAAATGAGCTACTGGTGGCTGGGTGCGGTGACTCACGCCTGTAATCCCAATACTTTGGGAGGCCAAGGCAGGAGGATCACCTGAGGTCAGGAGTTTGAAGATCAGCCTGGCCAACATGGCAAAACCTTGTCTCTACTAATACAATAATCAGCCGGGTGTGGGGGGCGTGCCCCTGTAACCCCAGCTACTCGGGAGGTTGAGGCTGGAGAATCGCTTGAACCCAGGAGGCGGAGGTTGCAGTGAGCCCAGATGATGCCACCGCACTCCAGCGCAGGCAACAGTGAGACTCCATTTCAAAAAAAGAAATAAGCTACTGGTGGCATTCACCAATAGAGCTGATGCTAAACCACCTCAAGGTATTTCAGGTTAACCATTAGACTAGCATACTAGAACAATCTTTCCAACGATCCTGCTTCATTCCATACATATTAACTCCTCACTAGGAATAAATCAGAGCTAGGTTTTGGGTTTTTTTTTTTTCGAGACAGGGTCTCACTCTGTTGCCCAGGCTGGAGTGCAGTGGCGTGATCTCAGCTCACTGCAACCTCCGCCTCCTGGGTTCAAATAATTCTCCTGCCTCAGCCTCCCAAGTAGCTGGGATTACAGGCACTTGTCACCGTGCCCGGCTAATTTTTGTATTTTCAGTAGAGGTGGGGTTTCACCATGTTTGTCAGGGTGGTCTCAAACTCCTGACCTCAGGTGATCCACCCACCTCGGCCTCCCAGAGTGCTGGGATTACAGGCGTGAGCCACCGTGCCTGACCAAGAGTTAGATGTTTTTCAAGGAAGCCTTGGGAAAACTAAAGGACATAAGGCCAAGCTGTTTAGTTTGAGTTTGTTTTCTCATCCACAGTATGAAGTTAATCATGTATAACTGCACTACAGGTTACATACATAAATATTACTGTATTAAATACCGGGTGGCTCTATGATTGGAGAAAGTAAACTAGGGCCTTTTTGGATGCATCTGGTAAGAGGAATCCAGTAGAAAGGCACTGAGTCTTAGCTGAAGTCCCGTAGGTTTTTTTTAATAGATACGAATAGTTTTCATAAAAGACTGAAAATGGAGGTTAATATACCTATTGTTTTCTATTTTTTCATAAAATACACTGGTTATTTTTATGCTCAAGCTGTTTCTCAGCTGGATTCCTAACCAAAAGTTACCACATTATATAACACCACACTTTGTGACAAATAGTTTTACAAATAACACGCAACAACTATGGCTGTTATGCTTTTAATGGAGGCAGATACAAAATTCATCAATGCAAAAGAATGTTTCACATACTCATTAACATAGTGATTAATGTAAATTATATTTTGACTTGTAAAATACAGTGTGTTTGGCCTCAAAAAAGAAACTACAGAGCTGCAACTCAAGATAACTGGAAAGGCTCCTTACATTATTTTTGCCCACCACCTTTGTTATAATACTCCTAAATGATATCTGGAGAGGGAATTAAAAAATAATACAAAGCTCTTTTCAGCTGTGGTTCAAAGAACTCTAGTGAAGCTGTATGGCAATGACATTGTGGGACCATGAAGTTTCCCCAGAAGTATTTCCAATAAGAGGCAGTTAAGAAGCTTAATAGTTTCAAAGTATGGAAAGCAGCAAAGGTATCTTAGAGAAAACATAAACCCACTTCTCTCCTACAGACATTTTAAAGCATGGACGTAACTTTAAGGAGACTGAGAAAACATCAGTAGTTTTCACAAAGCTTCAATGATCACCCCAAGGCACAAGTGTTGAAAACGGCCTGTTCACTAAAACATCACTTTTGGAGGTACAGGTATGCTGTGCTTGCAGTGAGAGGATGACTTTATCACTAGTTAAAAGCACCAGGTGTCAAGCTCAGCTTCCATTTACACAGGATGCACCAATAATCCCTATGATAGTGAATGGTTCAAGTACTATACTACATTTCCAACATGTCTTTTGCCTATTTGCTTAGTCGGTACTGGGGTTCTTTTAAGCCCCATAGGTCTGTAGAATATTTTAAAAGGCTAGAACTACCTCAAAAATAGTCTTGAAATATTACTGAGTCCTTCTAAAAGAGCTCACTGGATATTTTAATAACATTTACAGAAAGACAAAATTTGCAGTAGCTGAGTTTCTTTTAAGAATAATGTAGAACTAATGTGGGCTAAAATGTCAAAAATTGCCAAGATTATTATACATATTTTGGTAATCACCACTGACCAGGTTAATTTTTTGTGCAAAATACACTATATATTAATAGAACAGGAAAATCATTATTTCAGACCACTAACAGGAGAAAACCTACAGCAAAAGAAGCATCTGTAGGGCAATTAAACATTACGGAAGTTTACTAGCTTTAGAATACATCAATACACTTCGATTACGGAAATAATTCATTTTTAAACAAGAGTGTTTTGATGTACTTTTAGTAATGACCCAATCTAAGGAGCCTTGGAGGTTTGTGAAAAAGATGTATCCACAAAGATGCTGCTTTTCTAGTGTGGGGTGAATTAATACTTCTGTAAGAAGGAGGGAACTGAATCACCTCAGCATGAATAAACAGCATTTTTCTTTTAAACAGTAACTCATAATCTGATGACTCACTTTGCTTTACTAGTTCAAAATTAGGCAGGAGAAGAACTAAGCTAACTGGTCAGACCCAGAAACACAAAGATTTGGCAAGCCGCAGTCATTCAGCTCATGATGTGTGATAATCGGCAGAAAGGCTGCTCAACTCTTGTCCATTCCTTCACATCTGTAAAGAAACGCCCACAGATAAGTTACTTCACTGAAGAATAAAAGCAAATTTTCCCTGCCTTAAAGCTCTGACTCATTTCCCAATATAGGTATACCTTGTTATATTGTATTTTTTACAAATTGAGCGTTTGTGTCATCAACTGTGCCCATTAAAGATGGTAAAACTTTTCATCGATAAATGTATGTCCTGAATGCCTACCAAACAGCCTTTCCGCATTTCTCTGCCCTCTCCTCAGGCCTCCCTGGTTCCCTGAGACAAACAAGATTGAAATTAGGCCAATTATTAACCCTACAATTGCATCTAAGTGTTCAACTAAAAGGAAGAGTCCCCATCTCTCACTCTATTTAAATCAAAAGCCAGAGCGAGAAAGTCATGTTGAAGGCCAAGAGAGGCTGAAAGCTGGGCAGGCCTTTTGGACCACCCAAGCTGTGAACACAAAATCAAAGTGTTTTTTTGTTGTTTTTTAGCTTCTCATTCTCTGGCTGAAAAGTTCTTGAAAAAAACGAAGTGCTACTCCAGTGAACAGATGAACGATTTAAAAAACAGCCTTACTTCTGATACGGAGAAAGTTTTAGTGGTCTCAATAGATCAAACTAGCCACAACATTCCCTTAGGCCAAAGCCTAACCCGAGTAAGGCCCTAATTCTCTTCAATTTTATGAAGGTTGAGAGAGGTGAGGAACCAGAAGTCATGTTTGAAGCTAGCAGTGGTTGGTTCATGAGGTTTAAGGAAAGAAGCCATCTCCATAGCAAAAATGCAGCGTGAAGTGGCATGTTAACCAGAATAGCCAAGATCATAAATGAAAGTAGCTACAATATTTTCAGTGTAGACAAAAATAACTTCCTATTGCAAGAAGTAGTCATCTAGAACTCGTAGCTAGAGAGATAAGTCAATGCCTGGCTTCAAAGAACAGACTGACTCTCTTGTTAGGGACTAACACAGTCAGTGACTTTTTTTTTTTTTTTTTTTGGAGACAGGGTGTCACTCTGTCAACCAGGCAAGACTGCAGCAGAGCTATCATAACACATTGCAGTCTTGACCTCCCAGATGCAAGATTCTCTCACCTCAGCCTCCTGAGTAGCTGGGACTATAGGCATGCTCCACCATACCCAGCTAATTTGTTAATTTTTGTACAGAGGGTCTCTGTATGTTGCCCAGGCTGGTCTTGAACTCCTGGGCTCAAGCAATCTTCCTACCTCCGCCTCCCAAAGTGCTGGAATTGCAGGCCTGAGCCACTGCACTGGCGGCTAAGTTGAAGCCAGTGCTCAATTACTATTCCAAAAATCCTAGGGCCCTTAAGAATTACGCTAAATCTGGCCAGGCGCCGTGCCTCACGCCTGTAATCCCAGCACTTTGGGAGGCCGAGGCAGGTGGATCACGAGGTCAGGAGACTGAGACCATCCTGGCTAACATGCTGAAACCCCATCTCTACTAAAAAACAAAAAAATTAGTAGTCCCAGCTACTATGGTGTGAACCCAAGAAGCAGAGCTTGCAGTAAGCCAAGATGGAGCCACTGCACTCCAGCCTGGGCGACAGAGACTCTGTCTCAAAAATAATAATAATAATAATTATGCTAAATCTACTCTGCCTGTGCTCCAGAAATGGAACAAAGCTCGGATGACAGCACACCTGTTCACAGCATGGTTTACTGAATCTTTTAAGCCCTCTGTTGAGAACTACTGCTCAGAAAAAACATTCCTTTCAAAATACTACGCCCATTGACAGTGCACCTGGTCACCCAAAAGCTCTGATGGAGATGCAGAAGGAGATTAATGTTTTCATGTTTGCTAATAAAACATCCATTCTGCAGCCTATGGATCAAAGAGTAATTTCAACTTTCAAGAATTATTTAAGAAATACATTTTTTAAGGCCCTAGCTGTGTAGGTTTCTCTGATAGATCTGGGCAAAGTAAACTGAAAACCTGGAAAGGATTCACCATTCTGGATGCCACTAAGACCATTCATGATTCATGAGAGGAAGTCAAAACATCAACATTAACAGGAGTTTGGAAGAAACAGATTCCCACCCTCATGGATGGCTTGGAGGAATTCAAGACTTCAGTGGAGGAAGTAACTGCAGGTGTGGTGGAAACAACAAGAGAAGGAGAATTAGAAGTGGAGCCTGAATGTGTGACTGAAATGCTGCCATCT